GCTTGATTTGTCTGGAGCTCCATTCCCTGCATTCTTTCCTTCTCTGTGAACTTCTCCGGACTTTCACCTTGGAAAGGTGTACCTTTTGTGTGTTCCCAAAACATATGCTTTATTTATACTGTATTGTGGTTCTTTGCTTGTCTGTCTTTACCGTGGGACAGTTCTTTCAAAAGAATACTTACTCATTGCTTGGTGATTGTGGTCTCGATGTTCAATATGTTGTGGTGGTGCCACATGTTACACATTAATTCAACCAAAGAAAGTAACCAAGCTACTATCTTTCAGTAGTTCCAGTTTTAAAGGTACATCACGCTATGTAAAACACACCCTGTTTCACCTGTGCTCTGTGTCAATGTCTGCTTAGGTACTGCTTTACATATTCTTGAAAAGTATACTTTTCATCTGCTGATGTGCTTTATTAATACCTTTTGAATATCCCAGATTTTGACCATTATTAAAAAGATGTTTCTTAAAACCTGAGGAAAAGGTAGCTTTACTTGAAAATTTATTTGTTTTAACAGTATTATATTGAAAGCAATCTTATGGAGAGACACTGACAATTTATTCAGATGTACTTATAGTGGTGGGGAAGGGCATACTTTTTAATTTTTTAGAAAATTTTGTCTTTTATGAAAACAGAAGTGATGATAGATTGGAATTGTATTGAAAATTACTTAATTCCTGTAGTTTGCTTTTTAATATTCTTTATTCTTTACATAGTTCATGTATGTGATTCACAGGGACATGAAAACTTTATTTCTTATAATATTATTTTAATTTCTCCCCTAAAGACAGCTTAACTTCACACTAATGTATAGCACATGCCAGTTTCCTTAATTGAAAGGCAATTTCACATGCTATGAGTAAAATTATTTCCCATTAAATTCTTGTTTGATGGTATATTAAATTGTGTTCTTGCTTTTAATACTGTACACATAGAAACCAGAAGATTACATTGACGCGATCAGCATGTAAACAATCTACATCATGAACTTTAAATGGTCATTTCGTATGAGTGATCTATAAAAATACAGACCCTCCATGTAATTATGAGACTGCTGAGCTTGAATTACAGCACACTTCTTACTAGGGTGACCTCAAGGGTGTTGCTGAACTTCTTCTTGCCCGAGTTTCATCATCTATAAAATGGGCTAGTAAGGATAAACTACCTCATGAGATTATTGTTGACTAATAAATAAGTTAGTTTATATTAAGTGCATGACGCGTTGTAAGTGCCGAATAAGTTTAGCTATTATTATCATTCCCACCATAACTGTTACGATGTGAAGGGTTTCTCTCCCTCTATCATAGCTTCAGTAAATAACGAATGGGTTCTGTAAATGTGGAGAAGGGCAGTAACAGAAGCTTCATTGATTCTTTTTCACAGTATCAATGTAAGTTAGTGTTATACAAAAACTGAAGTGTTTGAGAGTAAAAGCAAACATACCCTAGTATGCATGTATGTAAAATTGAATTATTTTAACTTTTTCTCTTCACTTTTTCTTCTAGAATGAGCATGAGATTTAGTATCAGAGAACTTGTTCCAATCCTTGCTTTGCCTCCTTATGAATCATAAAACCTAGAGTTAGTTGGTAAATTCTCTGTGGACTTCTCTTTCTTCCTCTGTAATATGGGGCTGATGATAACACTTTTTATTGCAGGCCAACTGCTGCTTGCTTTTCAAACCTCTGCCAATGTCACCTTGACTCTGTGAACCTTTGTCCATTCCTGAGCTGCAGTAGTTTATCCTCTGTCCCCTACCATAGCAATTCTCCATACCATTCATTCATTCGTTTTTCGTTCATTCATTCATTCATTCATTTTTCTTGTCTCTCCCAGTCGATTGGGCATCATAGGCACATGCATCTCGGTCTTGTTCACATTTGCAGCATGCATACTAGGGGGCAGTTGCTATGTCTAATTAAATCCTTAGCCATTAGAAATTAGTCACATAGCCATCTCAGTTGGTTGGACTCACGCCATTGCTAACTTTATTCGCAGGATGCAGAGGATGATACTCTACTCTGCAGAGCTACATTATATAATTCTGGAGCCTTGCCTGCTGCCTACCTCCCTGTGACTAGATTCCTCCGAAGAATAAGGCAGGCCAGACAGGATTATCTAGGCCTGGCTATCATTCCAGTTATTTTTTTCTCTTCTTTGTATATTTTATGAATAAGGAAAATGACAGGAATATCATACGTCAGTATTGGGGAACCCATGAAGCTGAATGCATACATCAGTTTTCAAGGTTTATGGGCTTCAGGCACATTGTCAAAGATATGTGTCATCTCCTCATGCTCTTTCCGTCTAGCCTAACTGCACATTTGCCCTTTAGAAATGTAATTATGTGGAGACTAATTAGTGGGCTATTGCAGTTATTTAGGTGACAGGAAAGATAAAAAGGGCTGAGACAGCCATAAAGATGAACCTTGAGGGGCAGAATAAAGAATCGGAGAAAATGAGACTCGGTAGGTTTTGGAGACTATAAAACTTGGAAAGGTGAGGATAGATGAAAAGCCAAGAGTGATAACCAGGTTTCTGATTTTAGCAACTGGAGTCAGTGAAGGTGCTGATTTTGAAGAGATGTTTTTCTTCTTTCTTTATTTTATTGTTTATTTTTTCAGTGGGAGTTACTGTTTTTAATATTTGAATGTATTGATTTTGAAATTCCATTGAGCAACTAAGTGGACACGGCTCAGTCAGCTGTTTAGAGCAGATCTGGATGTCAGGAGAGAGAACAGTCAGCAAATGAGCCACATGTATGCATGATGTCGTGTAGAGACAGTGTTTAGGAAGAAATGAGAAAAAGACAGAGTCTTATGACTCACCAACTTCTTTTGAGAGAATAAGTAAATAAAGAGGCACCTTCTCCATTTTCTGTAGGATGGTCCCAGGGATAAAAGAGAACTAGCGGAGGCTGGTTTTCCAGAAGCCAAGGAAATACAGTTCCAGGAAGGAAGATTAGTTCAATAGTTATAGGTATTACAGTTGAATGGATAGTTCACATAAACATACAATTTTTAAGGTCTGATAGTAGAAATTTCATTATGACATTCTGTGGAATTCTGGAAAAGAGCCCAAACTGGCTTTAGAGGTGAATGGAAATTGGACATATACATCATAGACATTCGCAAAGGAAATCTAACTTTAAAGGGAAGAACAATAAAGAGAAGAAGCAGTAGTCAGAGGGAGATGCAGGAATGAATAAAGGTTGTAGGGTTTTTTCCCCCTGTATGCTAACAGGCACATGACATTTTTGTGGTCTTAAGGGATAGAAAATTGTAATGTGGAAAGAGATGGAAGGTGCTGCATAAAGAGAGGCTTATGGGAGAATTTTAATTCCTGAAAGTGGTAGAAAGAACAGATTAAATATCTGGATGGTGGTTTTCCCCTGGTGTCATTACCCTTGCATTAAAGGAAAGTACCTCTTTATCTGAATCTCAAGGGAAAGTGATAAAGACAATTAAGTATGTAGATAAGTTTCTAACATGAGATACTGTATATGAGCTTAGTTAACTGGAAGCATTTTGTGAATAAATAAAGAATATTATTTCTTTTTTGAAAAGCATGTGAGTGTTCTTTCTGTTTACCAATTTTATTCATTTTTAAAAGCAATTTAACATTTTCACAAATTCTTGAGTTCTGCAAAAAATGTCGTTCTTTGTTCTCAACAACTGAAAAGTACGTTTAATGGCAAAGCAACCAATTTCATGATCGAATTAATTGTTGCTCAAGGTTTTAATAAAAATGTACATTTGTGTATAGATATAAGTGATGCTCAGGTGTTTTGGAATGGTTCGATATCTTCAGTTGACTTGTTAACAAATAGTATTAGAAATAATGAGCTTAATTTACACAAATGACAAGGGTGACAAACCTTTAATTTTAAAATGATTTGCTTTAGATATTTTTTAATCATGCCCATTAAATAATAAACTGAGCATTTAAAAATACTCCACAAAATGATAACTTTTTATCAGTAACCTTCTCATTTCTCAAAGCTCCATTTTACCAGCCTTTCAAAGGCTTCAGCAGCTGGCAAGTAGAATCTGCAATTTGAGGATGGTAACAGCAGTACTCAGGCCCCAAGAAGGTACCAAATGTCTGTAAGATATATGCTGATTACAAGAGAATAGGGATAGTCTAAAAAGCCCTCTGTGAGAGCCTTTTGAACTTAGTCCAATTCCCCGACACTGAATTTTCATAGATATGATTATAGTTGGTTCTTAAATAGGTCATGAGGAGCGGGGTCTAGAATGGCTGGGATAAGCCATGTGGCCGCTGCCTCCTGGGGGTAGGGGGTATGGAGTCTGAGGGTCTGCAGTGGACCGGAGCGTGCCCAGTGTTGTAAAATTTAAGGTTATTTGACCAAATCCAAACAAGGAAATATCAGTGCAGATAGTCTTCAATCTTTTCCTTTGTGTCTTTATGGCATCCGATTAAATTCTGTCTTTATCCTATTGACGTAGTTTACTTTTGCCTTTTGGGTGGGAAAGGCATTATATACATAATATATATGTACATATACACACATGTACACATATACATAGGTACATATACATGTACACATATATGTACCCGTGTGGTTATATATGTATATATGCATTTAACATATATATATATATATATATATATATATATATTTCCTTTCTCAAGTGGTGAAAAAATGTGCACACTGCAAGAAGAAATCCAAGTGGTTTCTAATTCCAGTGGGAGAGAAAAGGCTGCTAGAAAGGAGAAAGTTCGGTGACAGTAGGGGTCTTTTTAAAAACACTTCCTAATGCTTTCTAATGCAACATAAAGGCAACTGATACCTCGCCAGTATTTTCTCTCCTGAGGAAAAATTTCCTTCTATTTAGAATTTGTTTTTATAGTATCAGGTCAGCATTTTTATGGCCCCCTTAACCATTCTTATTTTTGAAATGTTAAATAAAAATCGTGTGGTTGTATATTTAGTAATACAGTCATATCTCCAAATTTCTATTTTCCTCATGCAGGGGATTACTTCTACAGGAAAACAGCAGGTTTGCAGAAGCATTACATTATTATAAATTGGCGATCGGGAGCAGGCCTACACTGGCTTGTAAGTGATAGTCAAGTTTTTCTTTTTAATACCTCTTTCCTTCTTTATGCATGAAAATTATCTTGGTGACTTACAACCTCACAGAGAAAAAAAAAACTTGGTACCTCTGTTTTTGAACAGCTGCCAATCAAATTGTAAGCTTCTAAAAACCTCTCAATTTAATCATGTTTTGATATCAATCATTTTTAATATATTAAGATAATTACAATTTTTTTGAGTTCATTATTTAAAAAAATTTTATTGTTGTTCAGTTATAGTGGTCTCCACTCCCCCCCCCCCCGTTACTCTCACGCCCCCACCCCCACCTTCTACATTCAGTCCCCCGCTTTGGCTTTGTCTGTGGGTCTTTATACATGGTGCTTGACGACTCTTCCCCTTCTTTCCCCTGTTATCCCCCTCCGCCCTCCCCTCTGGTCACTGTCAGTTTGTTCTTTATTTCCATGTCTCTGGTTCTATTTTGCTTACTTGTTTGTTTTGTTGATTAGGTTCCACTTATAGATGAGATCATATGGTATTTTACAAATTTTATTCATCTAGATTTTAAACTCAAAATATTTTGAAGTTTTTTAAGATTTAATTTTTATTTTTTTTTATTTTTAGAGAAATGGGAAGGGAGGGAGGGAGAAAGAGAGGGAGAGAAACATCGATGTGAGAGAGAAACATCGATTGGCTGCCTCTCATCTGTGCCCAGTCCAGGGTCTGAACTCACAACCCAGGCATGTGCCCAGACCAGGAATTGAACTGGTGACCTTTCCCTTTGCAGGAATGACGCCCAACCAACTGAGCTACATGGGTCAGGGCATCAAAATATTTTAAACTTTCTGAGGGCAGAGACTATTCCATATATTTTCCAATGCCACCTGCACTTCTCACTACATTTATTGTTCCCATTTACTTTTGTTCCATAAGTATTTTCTTGTTTTTTCCTAAAATTGAAAATAATCCATAGGAAGTTAATTGAAGTAAATATAACTTACTGTATCCACAGTGCACATCATCTTCTCACATTTTTATTTCCACTTTTTTCCCCCTCAGCTGCATATTTAAACACCGGTATTATTCTAATGAACCAAGGAAAGACTGAAGAAGCCAGGCGCACATTCCTAAAGTGTTCTGAGATCCCTGATGAAAACCTAAAGGACCCTCACGCACATAAGAGCTCAGTCACCAGCTGTCTGTACAACCTGGGAAAGCTCTACCATGAGCAGGGACACTATGAGGTCAGACCAAAACCTCTCTCCTCTTTTCCTTCCCCCTTGTTCTCATCCAACCTCAGTGTTTCTACCTGTGTTCTCATCACAGGGACACTGTGATCATTTAAGAAGTTAATGTGTATTTTTATTAAAAGAGTTTCATGATGAAATTTGTTTGGGGGAATTAAAAAAAATCTCTGCTAAAGAATCTAAACAGACTTCTTTACTGTGAATTTCTCAGAACAATTCTTCAAGAAAGGGAAATAACAACCATTGTGTCACAAGCTTATTTGCTTATCTCAGATTTTATGATCCAAGACACGTTGTTATTGTTACCTTACATCCGATGTTTAATGTTAAAAAAATACATTTCAATTATTAAGATGATATAAATCCTACCCATTTATTTTAATTCTTTTTAAATAACAGTTAAATGTAAATTGATGTTTTACTTTTTTTTTAATTGGGAGAGGAGAAGAGTGATGAAGATGGGGCCTTGTACAAGTGGTTGGGAGGCTGAGCTGGCCTTGCCCTGCCTTCCTCCCGTAGGAAGCACGTCCACATGGTTTCTTCCCTCATGCCCAACATCCCTCCTCCTCTCTCTCAGACCACACCCCTGCATACTCTTTCACGCTGTATCAAGAATGCAATACAAAGATAAAGATACAACTTTAAAAATAGTTGCATTTAAGAATCTCAGGGTTTCTCAGTATCTAGATTTGTTATTTGGTATTTTATTTAGATGCTACTTGGTGGCCAGGCTTAAGTAAGTATAGATTTTAGATGACTACAGGTGACTTCCAAATATGAATTTTTCTAGTGTTTTAATGGAATAATCTTTGTGAACTAAAATTTTATATTAAAATAAAAGAGCTTGGTGACATTCAACTACTTGTTAAACTAAATATTTATCTGGCCTTCTTCACCGAGTGAGCTGAATACTTTTATTATGAGATTGAGGTAGTATGATACCAAAGGACAGCTTAATTTTTCTCCTCTAATGAACCATTTGAAAATAGCAATGGAAGTTTTTAATTTTGGAAAGATATTATTTTATTTTCAGTGAATATTCTTGTATTCATGTATTTTTTTGTTTGTTTCTTAAATTAGGAAGCCCTTAGTGTATATAAGGAAGCTATTCAGAAAATGCCACGGCAGTTTCCCCCACAGAGCTTATACAACATGATGGGTAAGTGAGACATTAATATATCAATGGATATTTCCAAGACCTGTGGAGAAATTAAAACCGGTGCTTCTGTTAAATGGAATTCTGCTTAGTTATATCATTCTCCCTCCCCTCAAAAATCCTTATTCACAATTGGGCATCACATTCATATTTTTACAAAGAACATGTGTTCTAACAAGAACAAAGGAGTGCATTATCATAGTGATTCTCAACTAATTGTCCTGATCGCAGGGTTTGTTGCAAGGGGCTCACAGATCCTTTTGCGTCTTCAGCAGTAGCTAGGCTCTAGAAATAGAAAAAGATGAGTAAAGTACATAGGTTTTAGTGAATTTATCAAGTTTATGATCATTTTAGTCACATTATCTTCTTAATCAGAAGATCCTCTAGCAGGGGTGTCCAACCTGCAGCCCGCAGTCCTCATGCAGCCCAGGATGGCTGTGAATGTGGCCCAACACAAAATTGCAAATTTGCTTAAAACATGATGAGATTGTTTTGTGATTACATGTCGCAGTGTATTTAATGTGTGGCCCAAGACAATGCTGCTTCTTCCAGTGTGGCCCAGAGATGTCAAAAGGTTAGACACCCCTGCCATGCAATGACATAGAGATGAATGATTTTTTTTTTCTTTTTCTGAAAATGTCTTTATCTCTTTTTTGGGGGGCGGGGGGTAAAACAAGTGGTTAAATATGTACATCCATAGAATGAAATATATACAGCTGTTTAAATAATGCAAAATATATTTATTTAAAGACATTTAGTGTATATTAAGCAGAAAATAGTTTCTTTTATAGAGATGGATATATAGCATAATGTCATTTTATATAAAAATTAATAATTGAGTAAAAATAACTGAGTCAATATATATGGTTTTCATTGATTAGGACTCAGATCTCAGTAGGATTTTCAGAGTTAGTATTTTAGAGTAAAAACAATACTGTGAAAAATGCAAATGTGCTACCATAATGATTCCCTTTTCTACTTTGGATAGTTAGTTTAATTTTTTTTATTAGAAAGTATAAGCTAGGGCATTGATTTTTCTAAGTACAAGAGGTCAAGAATTATAATTTCTAATGAAATATCTACATATCACCTGCACTTGATTTGTGACTACAAATTGTTACCACAGCTATTTGATGGTGGACAGGACTGAAAACCACCTATTCAGTGTGTGACTCTGGCCGAGAGTCCCTGAAGTTTAAGGTCTCTACTGATTGGTTAACTTTGCTGTTTCCAGATAAGGGAGAGAAGAGAAGGGGTTGCTTTTGTCTGCAAATCAAATTTTTTTCTCCAAAGCACAAATTACAAACTCAGAGTTTCTCTTTTTACTAAACTTGCTTAAGTTGCTTAATAGTTCTAGGCCTCCCTCATGCATATAAAAGAAATGAGACAACATGGTCTCTAGAATTATTTTATGCTTCTACATTTCATGAGTTGAAAAATTTGATACTAGCTGTACAGCTTGAGCACACGCGCACACACACATACACATACAATCTTAGATCCTCCCAAACTATAGAATATATGCCTGGCAAGGATACCTACTTTCTCTTTTTCCTGAATGGCTGAAATTTATGAAATAGTTTAGAGACAGAATGAGGTGTGGCTCAATAAACAGAAAAAATTATGATTTGGAAGAGGTTAATGTATTCATTGCCCGTCTCTGGGATTCCTGCCCCCCCGTTGGCTGGGCAGCAGTGGATCGATTTGATGCTCGTATTAAAAAGAACATTGGACTATTTCTAGTTGCTGCTGCTTTTTCTCTTTGCTATAATTACTGAAAGGTAAACTCTACCTTCACTAAATGTCCTTTTGCCCTTAAACTCTTAAAAACTAAAACAGTGCCTTATACTGTCCAGCATTTTACCAATGTATTTACCCAGATGAAATGTACATGTCCATAAAGTATGTGCCTGGAGTGTTTACGTTTATAAGAATTAACTTTCCTGTATTTGTACTGGATGGTTTCTGTTGAAATCAATACTAAAAGGATAATTTTCTCTAGCTTTATCTAAAGAGGCACAATGATTTCAGTTTATATTTTTATTCTTTACACTAATGCTTAGAAAGGCCATTATTCCCAATTTCCCTCAATTATGAAATAAGAAGTCTTTCTTTAAACTAGGAAAGAACTCTGAGATCCTTGGCAACAGACTGCATTTGGCATCTTTATTGTTAGTAGGAAATGTTGCATTCAATATAGTTAGTGTTTTCAGAAAATTCATTCAATTATTTTATGTAAATAAATTTGATTGAAAATTCAGCTGGTACCTTGGGATCAGTCTCTCATGGTTACGCAGATGCTGAGCACACACAGGCAGTGAAAGATAAGTGTGTCCCTGGGGTCATTGTTTAGTCCTTTGTCTTATTTTCCATTATAGAAAGAGGTAGTCGCTTTGCCCACACTCTGAAAAAGCACTGCAGCAATTTGCGAGGGGGAGAATCACAATATTATTTAAAATTGCAGATTTCTTCCCTAATTATTGTGGCTGCATTCTGTTCAATTTTATGTGAAGGTTTGTTATCTGACCAGATTTTATAGTTTCAATTGTTTATGAAACTATAATTTTCTCAGAGAGTGAATTCACCTCCTAATCAAATGGTTGAAATCCTCTGAGTGTTTGCTTTAACTCCTAATACATTTTGATTAGCCTCCACTTGACAAGGAAAAAAATGGTCCAGGAGATAAGCTGCCTTATCAGTTCATCAGTTTCATTAGTCTGTCAGCATGTGCTGATTATCCTATCAAGTTTATCAACAGCCTTGAATGTGTTTTCTAATTCTCACATTTACATATTATTAGTGCCCCTCCGGGATCAGTGATGGATTATAAGGTCTGGCTAGATTTAACCTGTAAGTATTCATTTTTCTCAAGGTTCATTCATTTTCCCCTTTGTGACCACTGCCCCCAAGCACTTGTGTGTATGTATACAAACATTATTTTTTTTCATCCTGTTTCTCTTTTATTTGCAGGTTAAGAGAAATAAAAGGATATGTTGAAAATCCACAATCATATATGAATGCTATTATTAGTTTAATAACTGAATTCATTGCAGTTCCTCTTTTTTTAAAAAAAAATAGTTCTCTGCATTTTCCATTCCCTTGAACATTTTATGAAGAACTTATATTAATCTATTCTACATGCCAGTAGTTGATGTACCCTGAACACCAAATGAGCAAGCATATTTTCCCATTTGTGTATTAATAAAAAAAAGTTTCATCAGTTTATTTCCCAATGTAACTTTTACTTTATTTTATTCTAAGGTTGTTAACTTTTACTCTACCAGTTCAAAAGTAAGTTTAACAAACTATTTAAAAATATATTCTCATTCTCTGATTTCCTAAGACCAAGATGATTTAATAACAATAATTTAGAAAAATCTCATTCAAAATTATGTGAATTACTGACATACAATAAAAATAATATAAAGCAGCTACTAAATATTATGAACAAAAATTAAACTTTTACCTAGACAGTGTTTGCAATTAGCAAGATATGAGAATACATGAAATATTTAGAGATCATATCACAAAATAACTTAAAATTGAACCTAGTCAGTTGTGCGACGTTTTATGGGCCTCAGTTTTCTCTTAAGAGGCTAGGTTGGAGTAAATGGAGATGCAGCATAGAGTGAAGTCAGATAGCCCAGGTTCAATTCATGGCTTTGACACTTACTAGCTGAGTGACCAAGGGCAAATTACTTAACTGAAGCCTCAGTTTTCCCATCATTTCGATGGCTGTAATAGGAGGGTCAGTGTGAGACTGACTGGGATAACAAAGGTAAAGTAATTGGGTCAAATGCCCAACCCAGTAAGCGTTTTATAAGATTACCTTCCATTGTAATCATTATCCTTTCTGTGGGTCTTTAAGCTCTGAATGTCAATGACTGTATTCTTTATCAGTTCTTTTTTTATTTACCAATGTAAGTGTTATTTTTTTTATAAGTAAGACTGCATAGTGATGGCCTTGCAATCACTGATTCAGCAGGGATTCTACTTAGTTCTGTCCTATCTAGAACTGCTGTATTGTCTCCAAATTTTCCCTCGTTCCTCAGCAACCAAGTCGGAATCATTCTTTGATCATTAACTGTTAACCAAAAAAGAAACAACTTACTCAGTTAATGCCCAATTAACTTTATCTCATTAATAGGGTACTCCTTCTAAATTAAAATTGACATATTTAGTTAGAGTTTCTTCTGTTTTCCCTTTGATGGCATATTTTTCCCCTAGACTTAGTCAAAATTATTTTTATTCCTGCATCCAATATAGAAATTCTTTATGGAACCTGAATTTTTCTTTTATTCACAAATTACAGGTGTGTTTTTAGAATCATATAATATTGGCAATGGAAGACTCATATCTTAAAATCCTCCTAACATAATCTCTTTTATTTTACAGTATAAAAATGATATGTTCAGGATTACACAGTTTATGTTAGAGCCAGAAGTATATCTTTCTGACTTAAATTGAAGGCCTTATCTATTTAGGCCTTCTGTATTACCAAAACTGACATGTTTTTACTGTCAATATACCTTTTCTTTACCCATTTAAAAATCAGTGAGATAAATGAATAAATAAATATAAAATATGATACATTTCATAGATTTATTTTTACATATATATGAAACAAGAACCTCATCTTAACAAAAAGAAATAAAACGCAAAATTGTGGTCTTACCACAGATGCACTAAAAAAAAAAGAATTTTATTTATTTCTTTACCATAGGATAATTGCTATCCATCCTCAATTTTTCTCTTCTTTCTCTCTAATTATTTTCCTTAAAATGTCCACTTGAACATTGCTTTTGAATAATCCTAAAATATTATGTGAAACTAAATTAGGTCGTAACTTCTAATTACTTTTATCAGCTAGAGCCCTTTTAATCCCAAATGCCATTTTAAGCCTATTTACCATTTAAAATATAATTACTCTTCTCTCTCAATGCAAAGTAATTGTTGGGTTTAATTATATAAGCAATTTAGGCCATTTCATCTTGGTAATAAAT